AACAAGTTTGCTTGGAAAGAGGCTGCTGCTGTAAAAGAACTGAGTGTTCTGGATAGGGATCGGTGCAATTTGGTCAAGTACTACGAAATTTTCAAGTACAAACGTCGCGCCTTCATTTCAATGGAAATGCTAGACATTAGTCTGCATGACTTCGTGACTCAAAGGTCTCACAGTCCACTGGATGTCTATGATATCCGGGTCATTTTAAAGCAGATGTTTGTGGCTCTTACCGCTCTGAAGAGCAGAGGTATGATGCATGCAGACATCAAACCTGATAATATCATGCTTGTAAATCAGTCTCAACAGCCATATAGAGTTAAACTTATTGATTTTGGTTTTGCCACAAGTCCTGCAAAAATTCCATGTGGCGCTGTTATTCAGGCCCTTGGTTACCGGGCCCCTGAGGTCATGTTGGGCATACCTGTGACTGAATCGGCAGACATATGGGCTCTCGGTTGTGTCGCAGCTTTTCTATACTTGGGCTACCACCTGTTTTTCAACATGAATGAATATGAAATGATGCAACATTTTGTTCACATGTTTGGTCAGCCTAATAAAAGCATGTTACAGGAAGGGAAGCACAGTAAGAAATATTTCTGGATGAGGAAAGGGATAATGAAACACACATGGGTACTGAAGACACCAGTTCAGTATTCAGTATCTACAGGCATTTTGATCAAACAAAATAAAACAATCACAGACAGATTTGCGTGCGTGGATGATTTAACCAAACACCAACCACAGCCAAACACAGAATCCGAAGCGGAAGACACAGCGGCATTTTTAAGCCTGCTCAAATGGATGCTGTGTGTGGATCCTATAAAAAGAATCACACCTGTTGAGGGTCTGGGACATCGTTTTATTACAATGAAACATCTTCCTGAGGACCCTGCAGTAGATTGCTACACGGAGTCATCCCACTCGAGCATGGAAGTGTGCTCACCCCTCAGTGTAGAAAATGAAATCGAAAACTTTGTTACCTCCAGTGAAATCATAAGCAACAGCGAACAGAGCAGTGAGAGATCTAGACTGTCTTCCACTTTTAACAACGGTGTGACTGCAGCTAAAATCCAAATAAACCGACAGAAAAGAGCAGCTGCACGCAAAAAGAATCAGCCTGCATTTCGCAGGTTTGCATGGCAGGCAGAAGATGACATGTCTTGTAGTCAGGGTGTCGAACAAAAGCCTGGGATGACCCAAAAACAGCTGGTAGGAACTTACTCTAAAGCCAGGGATTTAGATTCTAGCAGAGAAGGAACAGTCAAAACAAAGCCTCCGAAAGCTCGGATTTCATTAGGGAAAAGGATCAAAAACTTTTTCTTAAGGTTGTTTTGCTTTTCTTCACATGTTGAAGAATCTTAAGATCAACCCTCCCCAACCGGTCATGGCAGATGGCCGCCCCTCCCTGAGCCTGGTTCTGTCACAGGTTTCTTCCTGTTAAAAGGGAGTTTTTCCTGCCCACTGTCGCCAAAGTGCTTGCTCACAGGGGATCATCAGATTGTTGGGGTTTCTTTCTTATATTGTAGGGTCTTTACTCTACAGTATAAAATGCCTTAAGGCAACTGTTTTTTGTTTAAAATTGTTTTTTTTTTTTAATGTACAAAATAAAATGTAATCAACTTTAATCAACTCTTCTCTCAAGTGTTTTTGTTTTGTCGCTGGTGTCACTGCCTCTCCGTCCGCCACTATTTGATAAGTGTTAACCTGATCGGCTTCAGATTGAATTGATCGGGGCCCTGGTAGCTCCACAGTTCAGCTTGAGGTGACTGGATGAGGGCTGGTCTCAGCACTGCAGTTCTTTGTTGTGTGGTGTGAAAATAAATGGCCAGCTCTTGTTCCCACTGATGCAAATTATGATTTCATGCAGTGAAGTCATAACAACAACCTTTTTATGTTTATTTAGGTTAACAGTCTAATCATATTCTGATTCACATAATAAAGTCACATAATAAAAAGGCATATAATTCTGTATTTAAGGTGTAATACACTGATTACAAATCATTTAGCTCATTAATGACTGTAGCTGTTGTATGTTCCCTGTCTCCTCCTAGACAAATGCATATGGTATATATGTTTATATGTAGTTTATATGGTTTTGGTTTTATATATGTATTTTTAGAAAATGAATTAGTTCACTTACAGGCTGCCACGGCTTACGC